CCTTGAACTTTCCCTTCTTGTCCACTTCTCCAAGCAATGAGATGTTTCAAGAGCTCTAGGCTTATCCCAGGGGTTTGTTGGGGGGTTTTTGCCCTCTGACAGCCCTCTTCATATAGTGGACTGGCTTCTGTAATATAGGACATATTGACATCTTATTATTATTAGCATTATCCTTAGCATAATTGGAATGCTGTCAACTGCTTAACCCTGGCTGGCTGGGATCAGGAATTGTGGCAAGGAGCAATTGCAAGGGGAATTGACATCCAAGATTCGCCCAGTCAAGGGAGTGGCAGGCAATTGAGATTCCCACACTATATGGCATGACTTCATAACCTGCACAAATGAAAAGGAGGACTATCAACACCTTTCTGACCCCTCTCTTCGGCTGTGGAAGAAAGGCTAAATTATGAATAGCTGTGGTCATCAATCTTGAAGAGTAGCTGCCTATCTGTGCACCACAGACCTGAACGGTACAGAGGTGATGCTCAGCATAGGAAGAGAAACAAATAATGAATACAGAAACTATTGCTAGGCATTACCTTGTAAACCTCTAAGCACTGATGGTACATCTCTGTTGTTGTTTCAGTGCTGGCTTTTTGGTAGCGTCCATGACTTAATAATGAAAATGATTAATAACAGCAGCAACATACAACAATTTGTACAGCGCAAAAACTATTACAGCAGCAACAGCTACTGGTTATCACTAGGAATGGAATAGAAATTTCCAGAACCAAAAGCACTATGCAAACCATTCACAGATATCCTTCAGAATTCACACTTATCCCAATTGTGCTGGGCAGTACAGCAACCAATATATATATTGGGGGGGGGGAATGTGCATAAAAATTAATAAATTGATGGAAGTAACACATACAAAATGATAGGATGACACACTAGAAAGTGGGGGATAACACTTCCTTGATGCAACATTGTCTAATCTCCCTGCAAACAAATCTGGATGAATTCTCAATAAACGGGTAATCTGGAAGTGACCAGGAGTTGCTGAGCAAACTCAGGGCTCCTTCACGTACTTTTTTATGATTCCTTATCTTTGAATCAGACTTGGACGGTACTCAAATAGGACTGTCCTCTGACAGCTCTTTGAAACAGAGGGCTGTTCTCTGTAAAGTAGGGTACGTGGCCTTGCTACTGCATTTAGGATTGTGGCCTCTGTTTTGAACGTGGAAATTCTGCTAGACAAAATTTCATCATGAGGCACGTCAACGAGGTGACTGATGGATTCAGTGTGTGGGGTGTTTTTTTACTGGGTTGGGGGGACAAGGAATAGAGAGAGAAATTAATCATGTTGATGATGAATAGGAAACACCAGGCTAAAAACAAAGCTTCGGTTTGAGCAATGCGGAGTTGTGCAATTGTTTTGGGGTTGAATTCCTTATCTAGCTGCATGCATCACCCTTCTGTGCAAGCACGCACGGCCGCCCACCACTCAGCAAGGTTGTGCAAACTTCTGAGCTGCTGTTTCCAAAGCTTTCACAATTGAAGGCAAAGGCCCCACATGCATGTTGCACATCTTAATCAGGCGATCAGGGAATTAACCAGAGAATCCTATGGATCCTTATTGGTTACACGCCCCTAGTCTCTTTGTTTCCATTAGGCTGGTGCAGAGGGCACCTTCTGCTCCTGCATTTTTTATTTGCTGGGTCAGCATCAAATTATTATTATTATTATTATTAAAATCAAATACACTGTCCTTCATTCGAAGATCCCGGGGCAGTTCACAACAGAAAAATACAAAATGAGAATATAAAATGCATAATGAAATAAGTAGGTTGCGGCTGCAGCACTCGGGGAAGGGCTGTGGCTCAGTGGTAGAGTCTTTGCGTGCACAAGGTCCACCCAAGTTTAATCCCCAGCTTCTCCAGGTAGGACTGGGAGAAAGTCATCTGAAACCCTGGCAAGCCACTGCCAATCACTGTATACAGTACTGAGCAAGATGGAACAGTAGTCTGAGTCGGTGGCAGGCAGCTGCCTAAGTTCGCAAGCCCCAGTGAAGTGAATGGGACCTGCATTAATGAGCATTAGGTAAAGGTAAAGGGGCCCCTGACCATTAGGTCCAGTTGTGGCCGACTCTGGGGTTGTGGCGCTCATCTCGCTTTACTGGCCGAGGGAGCCGGCGTACAGCTTCCAGGTCATGTGGCCAGCATGACTACGCCGCTTCTGGCGAACCAGAGCAGCACACGGAAATGCCGTTTACCTTCCCGCTGGAGTGGTACCTATTTATCTACTTGCACTTGGATGTGCTTTCGAGCTGCTAGGTTGGCAGGAGCAGGGACCGAGCAACGGGAGCTCACCCCGTCGCGGGGATTCGAACCGCCGACCTTCTGATCGGCAAGTCCTAGGCTCTGTGGTTTAACCCACAGCGCCACCCACGTCCCTATGGGGACACAAGTAATGGGCATTACTGTGTCATTAATAAATCCCAGGCTAGAATTCCTATGAGTGTGTGGGTTTGGAACAACCTAGGAAAGTCAGTGGTTTCAAGAAGGATCAGTATTTGGGGATGGGCTGTGAAGACTTGCTCCCTTCGTGTGCATTCCAGGGCCCTCCCCAAAAGTTCAGCTTTTGTTTAAAAAAGAAGAGAAAGAGGAATCTTTGGCAACCATGGAGAAATAAGGGCAAGTATGCAGGAAGCATTCTACCCAATTGCTCGTTAAGAAATGATTTAATCGTACAATTGCAATAGGCTCAATATATACACACACAATTTGGGCTGGCAAGATGTAAAGGATCTCTCCTTGTGTATCACTAGAGGCAGTCAAGAGAATATTTTAGGGAAGAACCAGCTGAAGGGAGCCATAGCTTCATTCGTCTGGGTTGATTTACTTTCACATGGCATGGAGAAAGTATATCATCTAAATTATATAGTGCAATAGGTTTCGTCACCAGGTGGCATTGACCTTAATTGCATCTGGGTGGAGTCTAGCATTTCCTGTGTCTGTTGTGTTCTTGTAGGAGAAGGTCAATAAAGTTCTTGTCTTACTTCCTGAGTGGTCTAAGCCTTTTAGGACACATAAAACACTTTTGGAAGATGAGATTCTTCATGGAGCCGATAACTTTTGTCCAAACACATTCTATGTGAATGGGCATCCGTCAGAACAGACTACAAATCAAATTTACCTAGGAGAGTCTGTGTGGTGTAATGGTTAAATGTTGGACTATGACCTGGGAGACCAGGGTTCGAATCCCCACACAGCCATGAAGCTCACTAGGTGACCTTTGGCCAGTCATTATCTCTCAGCCTAACCTATATCATGGGACTGTTGTGAGGATAAAATAGGGAGGGGAGAATCATATGCACCACTATGAGCTCCTTGGAGGGAAAAGTGGAATATGAATGTAATAAATCAACAAATTATGGGTTTGTCATGTACTGCATTCAAGCATGCACACCACTTATCTCCATCAAGTAACATGTAAGTCCTTTTTTTTAGAGGGGGAGGGTGCATGAGGGCTAATTGGCCTGGAACCCAAGCCCAATGGGAACCTCAGATTTAGACACTTGTTCATTTTTTGACATTTGAAAAGTTTCACACCTTGTTTTCATATGCGTCGGATCAAAGTGCGACACTCTCAGCTTAAAGCTGTAAATCTAAGCAAACAAGAGATGTGATTTGGTAAAATACATACCTTCACCCTTGATAATTAGTGAATTTGCGCAGAAAAGGGCTAGAAAATTATTTGTTAAATACAAAAATATTCAAATTATATATTCCTCTTTCTTTTTCGGTGCTTTATTTTGTTTTTGTGGGTTTGTTTTTTATGTGTTATTGTTGTTTTAAGTGTAACTCTTTTTCTTTTTGGTGCCTTATTTTATTTTGTGGCATTGTTGTTGTTCTTACTATTACTATTGTTGTTTCTGAGGTCAGAAGCATCTCAAACCCTGAGATTTCAGATCCCTGGCATTGTCACACTGGCAGACCCTGGAGATTGAGGTTAATTGGTAGAGGGTAGTGGAGAAGGCTGCCCTTCCCCCCAGTCTATGCTATACAGTGGTACCTCGGGTAACAGACGCTTCAGGTTACAGACTCGGCTAACCCAGAAATAGTACCTCGGGTTAAGAACTTTGCTTCAGGATGAGAACAGAAATTGCACAGCGGCGGCGGCGGCAGCAGCAGGAAGCCCCATTAGCTAAAGTGGTACCTCAGGTTAAGAATGGACCTCCAGAACGAATTAAGTTCTTAACCTGAGGTACCACTGTATTTTGCAGGCAGCTCTTGCTGAGCTGAAACTTGCAAGCTACATGCATGGATGATGATGATGATGATGGACAATTGACACTCTCACCCACCTGGAGATTCAAGCCCTCTGCGTGCCGCCTGTAGAGGACCAGGCAAACCTGGAAACTTCAGGCCAAACCTGGGGATCTAGCAACCCAGATTATTATGGGTAGGGTCCTCAAAAGCTCTGAGAAGGACCTGTGCCAATGCGTAAGAAGCTGCTTTATACAATGGTACCTCGGGTTACAGATGCTTCAGGTTACAGATGCTTCAGGTTACAGACTCCGCTAACCCAGAAATAGTACCTCGGGTTAAGAACTTTGCTTCAGGATGAGAATAGAAATCGCGTGGTGGTGGCAGCGGGAGGCCCCATTAGCTAAAGTGGTGCTTCTGGTTAAAAACAGTTTCAGGTTAAGAACAGACCTCCAGAATGAATTAAGTTCTTAACCCAAGGTACCACTGTACTGAATCTGGCCATTAGTCCATCTAGCTCATGTTTATCTACACTGGCTAACAGTGTCTGTCAACACAGGGAGCTTTCCCCGCAAGGATCCTTGGAGATCCCAGGGACTGAATTTAGGGCCTTCCGCATGCAAATGTGTGCTCTCCCCACTCTGGCTACATTGAATGTAAATGAGTTCCCAGGAACAAAACAGCAGGAAATGCCTGAGGCTGGCAGCGAAGGGAACTAGCGAAGCCGCACAAAGAGGAACTATGAGTCCAGCTTTTCTAACCTAGCCCATGTTTGCTCCAGATTCCTACCGGTTTCAGTGGGATGGACTTCCAAGTAAACAGTGTGCAGGATGAAGCAGATAGTGTGTAGCTTCCCAAACTCGTGATGTGGCAACGTGACCCACAGCCAACTCTGGGGAAGCAAAGACTGGAGCTGTTTATATCGGAAGTGCCAGGCGATCTTGGGCAGAGGCCTGCGCATTTCTCGTTGTTGTTGTTGCTCCTTCTGCTGCTGTTATTTAAAGCATTGATACCGCATCTTTCCTCGGCTGAGGCAACTGTCAACGCTAAAGGAAGGCTATTTTAACCATAATAAAATAACAGTGAAACTATACTGAAACTGAAGAGATTTTTTTGAAAACAACAACAAATACAGACCAGCATTAAAAATAATTTAACCAGACAGCTTCCAGAAGGCTAGAACAATTTAAAGACGGATCAAACAGGTCATGAGATGGTCATATGCCTTACTTTGCAGAGCTTTTTCAGTCATTGCCCATCTATTATTATTATTATTATTATTATTATTATCCCGCCTCATCCCCAGCCCCTGGACAGCAGACTGTACAGAGACAAATATTGGCATCCACAGGGTGGGGGGCGACAAAGGGACATTTCCCCTCAGCCATGAGCCATAACCCCGATTCCTAGGTTTCATTTTAAATGAGAAAGCAAGTTTCTCGCCTTTGTAGAACCTGAGATATGAGGCAAAATGTGCATTTCTTTTGTAAGAAGCCAGACTGCTCCCACCTTTTTATAGTATTTACTTTACCTCCCCGCTCAGTGGAAAGATCCTCCAGACATTCATGGGTACACAAATCACCTTGGTCTCAAGTTTTCCTCACTATTCTGTATTGTATTTTTATCTAAATCATAGGTTCACCAAATCTGCATTGGTACGCATAAGTGAGCACATGCAAATGTTACTCAAATCTGCGTCGTCACCATCCCCCCCCTTTTTTTGCTGATGCATTTTCTCTCTTTTTTGACAATTTTGCACAGCTATAATAGGGTTGCCCCATTTCAAAAGTCAAAACTAGGACACCCTGAAAAGTGTGATGCCAGGGGGGGAAGTTGCACATATATGGAGCTGCAAATTTGGAATCTTCTGTTATTTGTTGCATTTTATTCCTACCCTTACTCCAGTGAGTTCTTCTCACTCCCCTCAACCAGGGCCAAGGCCTTTTCGGCTTTGGCCCCAACCTGGTGGAATGCTCTATCGCAGGAGACCAGGGCCCTGCGGGACTTGACATCCTTCTGCAGGGCCTGCAAGATGGAGCTGTTCTGCCTGGCCTTTGGTCTGGGCCCAGTTTGACCCCCCTCTATGGGACACAGGTGGCGCTGTGGGTTAAACCCCAGAGCCTAGGACTTGCCTATCAGAAGGTCAGCGGTTCGAATCCCCGCAACAGGGTGAGCTCCCGTTGCTCAGTCCCTGCTCCTGCCAACCTAGCAGTTCGAAAGCACGTCAAAGTGCAAGTAGATAAATAGGTACTGCTGTGATGGGAAGGTAAATGGCGTTTCAGTGACTGCTCTGGTTCGCCAGAAGCGGCTTAGTCATGCTGGCCACATGGCCCAGAAGTTGTATGCCAATAAAGTGAGATGAGCGCCACAACCCCAGAGTCGGCCACAACTGCACCTAATGGTCAGGGGTCCCTTTACCTTTATGGGACCCAGTAAGTTACCTCTTTGGCCCTTTTATCGGCTCATGTGGGACCAACATGGATAGCTGGCCCTGATGAATACTTGAGGTTCCCGACCCCTATGGTTATAATTCATGGGCAGTCATTTAATTTTACCCTGATTCTAATTTTTAAGCTGTATTTTAATCAATTGTTTGATTGTATATTTGATATTTGATGTTAGCCGCCCTGAGCCTGGTCTTGGATGGGGAGGGGAGGGTATAAATAAACAAAGAGAGAGAGAGAGAGAGGTGGAAGTCCAAAGACACCCAGTTAGTTTCTTTTTTTAAAAAAAATGATATTTATTAAGATTTCAAAAAGAAGAATTACATAAGTAAAGAAAAGGAGAAAAAACAAAAAGAAAACAAAAACAAAAGACCAAAGTAAAAATACAAGAAAAATACAAAATACAAAATACAGAAAAAAAGAATAAAAAACACTTAAAAATACATCAGTCTTCTATGCCTTACGTTCATTTCCTTACTTCCCTGACCTCCTCATACCTCCCTTTTTTGTATTCCAATTCAATTAGTTAATTCAGCAATTTCTTTTCTTTATTTTCTCTTAGTCCTTTAACTTAATATACTATAACTTTGGATTTTCACCTGTTAACTGTCCATTTTTACATACGTCTTTATAGCATTGCTGCTTAAACCACTTAACTTCATTCTAACATCATTCTAACATTCATTAATTTTACAATATTTCTGTAGATAGTCTTTAAATTTCTTCCAGTCTTCTTCCACCGACTCTTCTCCTGGTCTCGGATTCTGCCAGTCATTTCGGCCAATTCCATGTAGTCCATCACCTTCATCTGCCATTCTTCCAGAGTGGGTAGGTCTTGTGTCTTCCAATACTTTGCAATAAGTATTCTTGCTGCTGTTGTGGCATACATAAAGAAAGTTCTGTCCTTCTTTGGCACCAATTGGCCGACTATGCCCAGGAGAAAGGCCTCTGGTTTCTTCAGAAAGGTATATTTAAATACCTTTTTCATTTCATTATATATCATCTCCCAGAAAGCCTTAATCCTTGGGCACGTCCACCAAAGGTGAAAGAATGTACCTTCAGTTTCCTTACATTTCCAACATTTATTATCAGGCAAATGATAGATTTTTGCAAGCTTGACTGGTGTCATGTACCACCTGTATATCATTTTCATAATATTCTCTCTTAAGGCATTACATGCCGTAAACTTCATACCTGTGGTCCATAACTGTTCCCAGTCAGCCATCATTATGTTATGTCCAACATCTTGTGCCCATTTAATCATAGCTGATTTCACCGTTTCATCCTGTGTATTCCATTTCAACAGCAAGTTATACATCTTTGACAGATTCTTAGTTTTGGGTTCTAGCAGTTCTGTTTCTAATTTTGATTTTTCCACCTGGAAGCCAATTTTCTTGTCCAAATTATATGCCTCCATTATCTGATAATAATGAAGCCAGTCTCGCACTTTGTTTTTTAATTTCTCAAAACTCTGCAGTTTCAGTCTATCTCCATCTTGTTCCAAAATTTCCCAATATTTCGGCCATTTGACCTCCATATTGAGCTTTTTCAGAGCTTTCGCTTCCATCGGTGACAGCCACCTTGGGGTTTTGTTTTCCAATAAGTCCTTATATCTTATCCAAACATTAAACAATGCTTTCCTGACAATATGGTTTTTAAATGCTTTATGTGCTTTGACCTTGTCATACCACAAGTATGCATGCCATCCAAATACATTATTAAAACCTTCTAAATCCAAGATGTCTGCGTTTTCAAGAAGCAGCCATTCTTTCAACCAGCAAAAAGCTGCTGATTCATAATAAAGTTTAAGGTCTGGCAGGGCAAATCCACCTCTTTCCTTTGCATCTGTTAGTATTTTAAATTTTATTCTAGGCTTCTTGCCCTGCCAGACAAATCTAGAGATATCTCTCTGCCACTTCTTGAAACAGTCCATTTTGTCCAAAATTTGCAATGTTTGAAACAGAAACAACATTCTAGGCAATACATTCATTTTTATCGCAGCAATACGGCCCAGCAATGAAAGCTTCAAATTTGACCAAATTTCTAAATCTTTTTTCACTTCAGCCCAGCATTTTTCATAATTGTCTTTAAATAAATTCCCATTTTTGCTGTCATGTTAATCCCCAGGTATTTCACTTTCTTAACCACTGTTAAACCTGTCTCATTCTGAAACCTCTCTCTCTCAATCGGTGTTAAGTTTTCTCTAAAACCTTAGTTTTTAACTTATTCAGTTTAAATCCTGCAACCTGACCAAATTCTTGAATCAGTTCTAAAACCCTTTTGGTACTAGATTCTGGCTCCTGTAACGTCAATACCAAGTCATCTGCAAATGCTCTCAATTTGTACTGTTTGGCTCCGACTTGTATACCTTTAACCAACTGGTCCCTTCTAATCATATTCAGCAAAACCTCCAGGACCGATAGTAAAAGCAATGGGGAGATTGGGCAACCTTGTCGTGTCCCTTTTTCTATCTTAAATTCTTCCATCACCACATTATTTACAATTAATTTAGCCTTTTGTTCTGAATAAATTGCACTTATACCGTTTTCAAAGCCTTGGCCTACCCCCATCCCCTGTAGGTTCTTCTTCATAAAGCTCCAGGAAATATTGTCAAAAGCTTTCTCCGCGTCCACAAATATCAAAACTGCCTTAGTATTTATGTTCACTTCTAATTTTTCTAAGATGTTGATTATGTTTCTCACATTATCCGACAAGTGTCTACCCGAGAGAAAGCCTGCTTGGTCTTTATGAATCTCTTCCATTAACACTTTTTTTAGTCTTTTAGCCAAAATGTCTGCAAAGATTTTATAATCCACATTAAGCAATGAGATGGGGCAGTAGTTCTTAAGTTGCGTCTTTTCAGTTTCTGTTTTCGGTACAAGTGTAATATACGCTTCTTTCCACGACTCTGGTGCCCTTTTCCCACCCATTATTTCGTTACAGACTTCCTTCAAAGGTTGTACCAACCATTCTTTTAAGGATCTGTAATATTTAGAAGTCAGTCCATCCGGTCCTGGAGATTTACCTAGTTGCATATTCTGAATGGCACCTTCTACCTCCTGTTCAGTTATTTTATAGTTCAACATTAATTTATTTTCTTGAGAGATTTTTTGTAATCCATTTGTTTTCAAAAATCGGTCTACGTCAATTTCTTTCTGTGGCCCTTGTGTATATAGTTGTTTAAAGTACCTCTGGAAACAGTTTCTAATCTCAACTGGGTTCTGTATATTCCTTCCTTCCACTTCTAAATTTGTAACAGTATTTAATTTTTGTCTTTTTTTCATTTGCCAGGCCAATAATTTCCCACATTTATTGGCCGACTCAAATGTCTTTTGTCTCATTTGTTTAATTTTCCATTCTATCTCCTGATTCATCATTTTCATATATTGTACTTGATATAACTTTATTTCTCTCAATATCTCTTGCGACTTTGGTTTTGCTCTCAATTTCTTTTCACTTTCCTTTATTTTCTCCAATATTTTATCCTTCTTTTCATTTTGGATTCTCTTCTTTAATGCATTCTATTGTATCAGGAACCCTCTCATAACAGCTTTGCTTGCGTCCCAGATTACTCTTTTTTCAACATTGGTGTTCATATTTATCTCAAAGTAATCTCTCAAGGTTTTTTGGGCCTTCTTAATCACTTCTTCATCTCTAAATAAGGTGTCATTCATCCTCCATCTGAAGGAACCGGTTGGTGTTAGTTTCATTTCCATCTTAACAGCATTATGGTCGGAGCAGGTTTTTGGGCAGATTTCCACTTTTCTTATCTTTGGTGCCATTCCTCTAGTTACCCATATTTGGTCAATTCTTGTCCATGTCAGTTTGGCTTCAGAGAAGAAGGTTCCCTCTCTAGCCAGGGGATTCTTTGTTCTCCAAATATCGACTAAGTCCAAGTTGTCTGTCATCTCAAAAAAGGTTTTCGGTAGTCTACCATCCTTAGTGACTACCTGTCTTTGTGCCTTGTCCATGTGTGTAGATACCACAACATTCATATCTCCCATCAAAATCACATTATAGTCCAAGTAGTCCATCAAGGTCTCATGCAGCTTTTTAAAGAATTCAGATTTCCCCTCATTTGGTGCATAAACTCCTACTATTAAAAAATTCTCTCCTTGTATTTGAATTTCAATTGCCACAAATCTTCCTTGGTCATCTTTGAAAATAAATTTCAGTAATAGTCTCTCCTTTGCATAAATCACTACTCCTCTTTTTTTAACTTTATCCGAAGAGATAAATTCCTGGCCCAATCTTTTATTAATCAATACTTTCCTGTGTAGCCTTGTTACATGTGTTTCCTGTAAACAAATCAAGTCCAATTGTTCCTTTTTTAGTAAATGAAACACAGATTTCCTTTTCTGAGGGGAGTTCAGACCGTTACAATTCCAGCTTAGTAGTTGCAGAGCCATGATGTAGTTACTTTACTTCTCCTCCAACTGCTCCAAGTGCTTGTTCCTGTTCTGTAGGTGGTATCACCTTCTCCAGGCGGTCTCTTAATTCAAAAGGTAGTTTTGGTATATCTAAAGTTCCTCTTTCTAGTATTCCTGGCTCTTCTCCAACTTCTTTCTGCAGGTCTTTTCCGTGGTCTGACACCCATTTAGTTTCAAGGTTGAATGTGGATGCAAACAGGGGCTCCTCATTCCTTGGCCACCAAAGTGCTTTCATTCCTTCTATTCCTGAAGTTCAAGTGTGAGTACCAATGCTTGTGTAGCCAAGAGGGCAACAACTGTACATGGGAAGAAGGTATCAGCATGTTCTGGGAAACCCCAACACTTGCAGAAGTACAAAAAAAAATATTTAGGGGGAAACCCCTAAGACAGTTTGGAAGGAGATTTTAAAACAGTGAAGCTGATTTGTTCTAGAATCAAATAAAATCATATTAATATTTAAACTCAAGGGGGAGGGCCGCCAAAACATTCCAATGAGCTTGCTCAGCAGTCATGACATGCTGCGTGACTCTTGGGGTGGAGTAGACAGAAAAACAGGGTGAGAGGATGGAAATGAGTGGCAAGGAGAATGTTTGGGTAAAGATTGGTAGGTTTTTAAATTCCTCCTGAAGGTCAATAAAGAGGGGGACATGCACATTTCACCCAGGAGGGTATTCCACAAATGGGGGGCTACTACCAAGAAATCCCTGTCATGGGTCAGTACCAGCCCGACAAACCCTCGTGGCAGCTCAAGCAACGGGGTCTACTGATTGCCAGTTCTGGAATTGTTGATAAATGGTTGGCCTTGCCTCTGAACCATGTTGAGTTGCAGAAGGCCCAGCTGAGGTCCACTCAGAGCAAACAAATTGAAATCAATGGACCCAAGTTAGTCCTTTCAATGGATCTACTCTGTGTTTGACTAAACGTGGGGTACAACTCCCCTGGGTGTCGATCATTGTCAAATGTTGTGCCTCCCCATCCACCACCACTACATGTAAGTGGAGTAAAGGTAAAGGGACCCCTGACTGTTAGGTCCAGTCTTGGCTGACTCTGGGGTTGCGGCGCTCATCTTACTTTACTGGCCGAGGGAGCCGGTGTACAGCTTCCGGGTCATGTGGCTAGCATGACTAAGCCACTTCTGGTGAAACCAGAACAGCGCACAGAAATGCCGTTTACCTTCCCGCCGGAGCTATTTATCTACTTGCACTTTGACGTGCTTTCGAACTGATAGGTTGGCAGGAGCAGGGACTGAGCAACGGGAGCTCACCCCGTCGCGGGGATTCGAACCACCGACCTTCTGATCGGCAAGCCCTAAGCTCTGTGGTTTAATCCACAACGCTACCTGCATCCCTGTAAGTAGAGTACGCTTGCTCAATTTCTTCCTTTCCTGCCCATGTCTACTCCACCTGTTGTTTGAATTGCCCATTTCAGATGGTCACCTCCTCAAGGACCTGCCTCTCCAAGTGATTCCTGCATTGCACGGCTAGACTAGATGACCCTGGGTGTCCCTACAATTCTATGGCTCTGTGG